AAATGGCTGCCGAGGGCTCGCTTACCACATTGTCACACACTGACTGCATAACAAAGATTACCGAAGGCCAGCCAACGCGCAATTTCTGCACACCCCGAGCAGGAGGACGAAGAGGAGAAGGAAAACAAAATTGATGAGGAGAAAGGGGAGAGGAGGAAAAAAAGGAAAAAGCGGAGGAGCAAAAAAAAGGAGGAGGGGGAGGACGAGAAGATGGAGGACAAGGAAGAAGACGATGATTGCCCTTAGGCGTTTTGAAAGATAGAGTTCGTCTCTGAGGAACACTCACTTTTGACCCGCCCCATGCGTTTCGCAAATATTGTATCGAATTCGCATTCTGATGCAATACATCACTTGCTTTTCCAATCGGAAGTGTTTTTGGTGCGTGTTGATTTCCAGAAGCATGGTAGTTGTGTCGACAGCAGGCGGAGAAAAAAACATGTAGTGTACAATATCGTCGTCGCGGATTTTGTGTATTTATGGAAACGCACGACGTCGACGTAGGGTTAATTATGTCGGTTCTCGAATATTTAGAGTGTTTTTTTCCGTCGTTTTCGTGGGCCGTTTCTAATGGATTGTCATGGGTTTTGTATGAGCTCGTACATAAACACCTATAGATATAGATAGAAGGAATCAACATTGTTGCTAAAAGACATCCCGATTGCTTTTCACACGCAATTATGTACAAATCATCGCCCGCATGCACGATTGCATCAATTAAATTGCAGAAACATCCGGAATTATGAAATGACGTGCTTCCGGTAAAAACCACATTGACGCAAATGTTTGCAAGTAGGCACGGGTAAGTTGGGTGGATTGAATGGTGTACAAGAGGGTTGCAAGATGGGGCGGAAAGGGATCGTGATGCGGTAAGGAGCGCCGCAGCAGCGCGATTGCAAGTGCAACCTGCTTCCCAGAGGCCTTTTCTAGCTCTTTCTGGTTCAGGGGTAACTCTGACTGTTTTGGAATTTCAGCTTTCGCTGTGCATGGCCCGCTCCAAGTTTCAGCCTGCCTCAAGTAGAGGCCTCCTAGATAGGGTCCGAGTAGATGGGGTGGCGCCGCATCGCCAATGCATCACCGATGTATCGGCAATGCGTCGGCGATGCATCGGCGACGCGTCGGCGATTTACCGGCGACGTCGACGTGGGAAACGTGGGCTCCACATCGAGCCACATCGTCGATGCATCGGCGATGCGGCGCGATCCTCCA